TATGTTACTTTCCAATTGATAATTTTCCTCAAATATTTCTTTTAATTGTTCAGCTGGATTATTTTCAAGTTTCTCATAATATTTATTGTTTTCAATCTGCTTGTGATTTTCAATAACATAGTCAAAACGGTTCATAACAACAATAAAAGAGCTTTTATAAGCTTTTTTTATGATGATATTTTTGTCTTTTGCAAGGTTTCCAAGGCTTGTAATTCTTCTGTTTTGTTATATACCTACTGTGTTTGTTGTTTGATAGAATTTCATTTCTTATGGCTTCAATATAAAAATCAAGATATGAATATCTACCAAAAGGCGGAAAGCAGTGTTGTTTCCTTTTTTTCCTATTAATTTCATAATTATTTTAAGTGATATTTAAATTTTCCTAATTGTTTTCCTCTTTCGCTGCAAGATATTCATTTAGTCCCAGTTAACTTTTTAATTTTAAAACGTATCTGTTTATTATGGGGTTTCGGACATTTAAATTTTTGACGAATACGTATTACATGTATATCGTTTCGATAAACAAGAACAAATTCAATTTCAAAAGAGTATTAATTAGTTGTATCTAATTTGACACCTGGAAAAAAGTTAAGCACAACCTGCATTTTGCTTCAACTTTGACATGACCACAACTTAAATTTTTATTTTATCGGGGTGATGGAAAGAACCACTTGTAGTCAACCTGCAACAACTGGAACAAGCTTTGCACCAAAAATTTGGCTATAAAATGTCAATTTAGGTAACGTAATAATTGTCAACATTTACCAAAGAATATCCATCAGTAAATGTTTTGTAAACGCTCCAAAACCGTACTAATAAACACAATTTTGTTAAAAAACAAAACATTTGCTTAGGCTTCAATAATTTGGTTAAGAATAAACTAAACTCATATATTTACTGGTTTATGATAACTTAATTGGAATCGCTAGTTATCAAATTTCTAGTTCTTAGCTCAGTAAAGTCATTTGATGACAATGTTTTCACTCAAAACAAATTTTTAATGTCCGGGCTATGCTTTAATTATTTCCGGGTGTATATATTCGTGTGAGAAATGTTTGTAGTTTCAAAATCATCTAAAATTACCACTCACTTCATGTAATTTATTGAATCTATCTTGGATACCTTTTTTTACTTGAAAAAAATCATATGATTTATTATGAATAATATTTTGTGCCTTGACGTCACTGCAAACGAGCGAATCTTACAAAAACAACTACAACAAAAAAAAAAAACAACAAAAAACGATATTATAGTACGTAGCATTTTGAGTTTGTCTTGTCTTTCCAAATCAACCATCTTTTTAACGAAACATTATCTATTAACAGTTTGTTTAAATATGGTGATAATAAGAATGGGTTCACATTATAATACGAAATTCTATGTATTTTACTGGCACAATCATATGATGACATTTACTGTTAAATACTCCATTACATTCGTTCGCTCGAAAATTAATTTCTTAAAACTCTGTATATAACCTATATCCGACAACATGCATTATGTAAATAGGCGGAGTCCAATAATTCCGCTCGTTTAACTCATTTAACGTATAAATTTCACTGTATGGTAAATATTTAGGAAAATTTAAACAAAATAGAGCAATTTCAATGGCAGACAAACTTTGGCGAACTGTAAAAGTATATAACAAAAGTACCAAAGTGTACAAAAAAGGAGACACGCTTACCGCTAAAAGTAACTTATAAGAATTAATGGAATTCTAGCCATTGCATTCATCCACATATCTGAACAGGCGTTCACACTGCCAAGTCGCAACAATATTATGTGGTTAAAATTGGGATAGCGTTTTCTTTAATGCTGTACTCATTAGATATTTAAGTTTGTTTAACTTACTGACTTCAACACTCATTGATTATTTTAAAGTGTTAAATATTTGATCAAACATGAAAATGTCATTTCTTTATACTTTTATAATTCAAAATGTCTTTAAAGGGTATAAAGCTATACTAGTAATTGTGCGTAAACAGAATAAAATGTTACGGAACAAAATATTATTCTGCTAGTTTATGAAGGGTTTTATCTGTTTAGCAGTAATTGCATGTATGCTATATTCTCTTTAAAGGTAATTTACTACATGTAACTGATTTATTTTATACAATCATTTTGGAAGTATTCTTTTTTATAACATGCTTTTCTGTGGTTTAAAGAAATATATCAGTGAAATATAAAACTGATAATTTCACTGTTTGAAACAGTGAAATTATCAGTTTGGTAATTTCACTGTTTTGAATTTAAGCCCCTTGTTGTTTCAGTGAAATATCAGCGTGTACAATGCTGGAAACCAACTTAATGACGTGACGTCGTAAATGACGTCACGTTGTATTATTATTTGGCACGCTTTAAATTTAGTATTATGTTAAAATGTAATTTTAAATATTTCTTTGCATATAATAAAAAGAAAAAGTTCATATTTCACTCGTGACCTTTTGGTGCTCACTCGGTGATCTTACACTGAACTAAACAATATATCCTCCATAAAATTCAAACAATATTTTTTGCAGCAGTTACATGGCTCAATTCTCTTTACTACATACATATGTTATATCCATGTGAAATATTTTGAAATTAGTTAGGGTAAGTAAGCCGTCCTACATAATAACAAAACGCACCTGCCACAAAGAACATAAGGAAAAGTACCCATCAGGACATCTAATTGTGTTCGGTAATAATTGATTCTAGTTCGATAGTGAGGTTATATCTGGATAGATAAAGTCTGGATAAACAGTTTGATATTACCAAAAAGAGACACACACACGAATATGTCAAAACAATGATTAATAAATTATCGTCATTTTAAAACAATAATACCGTCATGTAAATGATTGTAACTTTTACATTCATATATATCATTTTATAGTCTCGGCAAATAAACAGCATGTAAACTGGAATAAAGGGGATAAATTATACAACATATATTTTAAACAGAAATCACTATACATCATATTTGAAAAATCGATTACCAGACATTTACTTGTAGTTTCTTGTTTGTTTACAAGTAATATTTGTCGCTTTTTATTCGTCACAATTTGACAGATATACCATTTTATTATATTACTTTTAAATGAAATATTGAGAATTGCGTACTTTCATTTTCCGTATTTCACTGTAAAAATTTATTTTTCACTGCAGTGAAACATATTTTCCGTATTTTTACTGGTGTCTTGCCGGACTACTTTCTTTTAAATTCTGCCATTACTCAAAATTTAAGGGAAAGTCTTGCAAATTTTAATGTCCTGAAAGAGAAAAATGTATAAAATAAACAAGAAAATTCAAGTTTTTTTCTATAAAAACATGATTTATTTTCATCTTGTGGCATGAAAATTACCATATTTCACTCGTGGCTACCGCCACTCATGAAATGTTTATTTTTATACCACTCGATGAAAATAAATCATGTATTTATAGAAAAAACTTGAATATCCTCCATCTAGTTCTTTTATCAGTATTTGATCTCTTGAAAAAATTTGGAAATAAAATAATAACACGTTGAACTTTAAAATTTTAGGACGTGGTTAAAAACAAATGAGCATTTTTGAACATTCTTTGACCTTAAAGATCCTGTAACACATTATTTTTATGGTTTTATATACAAATTATGATGCTCAAATTAAGATTTATCGATATTGTAAGTTTCAAAAAAATTATTTATAAAGATATTACCGAATTTAATATTTCATGTAAATAAAGGGAGGTAATTAGAATTTAGTTTTCTATAAATTCTAAGTCAATTTTTCCAATAAGAAATGAATGCATATAATTTAATGATTACCTTAAATATGTACAAATATTTGCAATACATATTTTACATATTCTTCCATGTTTGAAAATTGACAAATTTGCATAATTACATACATATATAATTCAATGAAGAGTGGTATGCAATCTCAATTACAAAACATACAGGATCTTTAAAGCAAGTACAAATAAATATTATTAGAACAGAACAGAGAAATAGAAAGGAAAAGCCCCTAATGTTACATATATAATTGATATTGAAAGCGATGTAACGATGTTTATAATTATAATTATATATATATTATATAATATTATATGCATATATATTGTTATATAATATTATTTATTATTATATATAAATAATTATTTTCTCGCAGTAATTTCAAACTACAAATAAATAACCTCAACATAATAATTCATGTCATGTAGTGTCGTAGCTAAAGAGTTAATATTGCTGTTACAGGTGTACACGTATGTCCATGACGTATCCTTATAGTTTCTTGATGATTTGAAAAAAATATGTAAATACAACAAATATAATGTACTGCTACCAGATCGTCTTTATAATTTGGAAATCCGATACTTGCAATTTATACGGCACAATTCCTGTATTTGTTTTGAACACCAAAAGATAACAGATAATTAACTATCAATTTTGTCCAATGAGACAAATACAATTAGTCCAATGTTGATCGCTATAAAAGAAAATAGTAATTATATTTTATAAAGAGTACTGTCTCTAATAAACACACATAACATTGATAAAAAAGTCGAGCTCTCAAGTTTTTTTAAAATGTAGTTTATTAGTAGATAGAAAGATTTTTTTATACACGAATATTAATTCAATAAATTGTGAGCAATCCTTCAAAATACTTAAAGCATTGTACTGAACTGTAATATATTTTTGCCAGTATCATTCCTTTATGATATAATCAATTAAGTAATTATGTAAAAGGAAAAAATACAATTAAAACATCTAAATTGAGAGACAAACATCTACCTTAATTTATGATTTATTTAAGATTAAACAAATGAAAATAAAAACATCAACCATATAGTTCCACCAGTATATTGTATTTTATTATGTCTTATAAGTACACAATATTATGTTGAAGATTGTTTGCGAATTGGTGTAAAACATTTATAATGGTAAACATTATCAATTCAGTTCGGAATCAATATAACATTTGACTTCATCCATTGAAGTACAATTTTGTCTCGGTTTAAAGAAAATATCAAAAATCAAGGGTTTGTCTTCCTATGACAGGCTTGTCGTGCTGGTACACGAATCCCTCTCGCACTGCTCTTGGGGCACCAAACTGTCCTGTCGCATTTCTGTGTTTCTCAGGAAGAACTGCAGTTTCTTTTTTGCGTTTTCCGTGCTTGTCTTTGCTGCAAAGGTTGGCAAACATTTTATAGTTTTTATAACAGATTAATGAATTATTTATAAAGTCATTGCTTACTTTCCTTAATTAAACTAGCTCAAAAAAGTTCGTATATTTAATACATGTAATATGTTGTAAGTGTTTGAGCAATATACACTGTAAGGGGTACTGTAGAGTACATTTGAACAATGTAGTTTTCTTAAACTTTGTTGCACTTAAATGACTAACACAAATTACACAGGCAATAGTCTGACATTTCTTCTTGCCGATTTTCATACAAAAATGTAAGCAATAACATGAATGTCAGAATTCGATAATAAACAAAATAGAAATAACAGCAACACGTTAACAAAAGCTAATTAAAGGAATGTATGTAGATCAGGAAAAGATCAATTCCGTTAATCCTAATAACTTGACATAAATGTGTTAGACATTGTGATGATACTGATGTGTCTCGCATCGGAACTACAATTTGAAGGTCAAGGTTACGCATCACGATTGTGAATAGATTGTCTTCCTTTTGCACCGAAATGAATAAGCATATTGAAATACACATCGTTGCACTATATTTTTTACAAGATTGAAATAATGACCATTATCATGTTTCTGACAATCAATGTTTTATTTTGCTCCCCGAAAAATTTCGGAGGAGCATATAGTCGCCGCCTTGTCCGTCCGTCCGTCCGCTTTTCTTGTCCGAGACATAACTTTGAAACAACAAGAGGTATCAACATGAAACTTTGTAGCTAGATAGATCTCAATGAGTAAGTGTGCGGTGCACAAGAACCGTAACTCTGCCTTGCCTAATTTTTGAATTATTGCCCTTTGTTTATTTTTGCACTTTGAATATTGTCCGGGACATAACTCTAAAACTATAAGATGTATCAACATGAAACTTTGTAGGTAGATAAATCTCATTAAGTAGGTGTGCAGTGCACAAGATCCGTAACTCTGCCTTTCCTAAGTTTTGACTTATTGCCCTTTGTTTATTTTTACACTTTGAACTTTGTCCGGGACATAACTCTAAAACTATAAGAGGTATCAACATGAAACTTTGTAGGTAGATAGATCTCAATGAGAAGGTGTGCAGTGTACAAGAACTGTAACTCTGTCCTACCTAATTTTTGAATTATTGCCCTTTGTTTATTTTTTACACTTTGAACTTTGTCCGGGGCATAACTCTAAAACTATACGAGGTATCAACATGACACTTTATAGGAAGATAGATCTCAATGAGTTTGTGTGCAGTGCACAAGAACCGTAACTATGCCATACCTAATTTTTGAATTATTGCCCTTTGTTTATATTTTACACTTTGAACTTTGTCCTGGCCATAACTCTAAGACTATAAGCGTTATCAACATGAAACTTTGTAGGTAGATAGATCTCAGTGGGTGAAAGTGCAGTGTTAAAGAATTATAACGCTGCCTTGTCTTATTTTGAAGTTATTCCCTTTGTTTATTTTTACTTTTTGACTTTTGTCCGGGACATAACTCTAAAACTATTAGAGATATCAACATGAAACTTTGTAGGTAGGTAGATCTCATTGGATAGAACTGCAATACACAAGAACCTAAACACAACCTTGTCTATTTTTCGAGTTATTGCCCTTTGTTCATTTTTACACTTTGAATTTTACCCGGACATAACTCATAATGAAACTATAATAGATATCATCACGAAACTTTATAGATAAATAATTTAATTCTCATTGAATAGAAGTGCAGTGTAAAAAACATAACTCTGCCTTGCCTAATTTTGGAGTTTTTGCCCTTTGTTCATTTTTTATACTTTCCTGTGTCGGGGAGCATCACCCGGTTCAACCGGTTCTTTTTTAATTAGATATTTACCATTTTTTTCTCAATGTGATAATCAAAAGGATAAGAAGAAGTAATAATAGTAGTCCACCCAGACTTGCCACAACTATTTCTCCTGTACCTATACCAGAGATATCAACTGAAAAGTAAAGGGAAACAACATATATATATATTTTATTTTTTCTATATTACAAATAAATTACATTTTGCTTAAACTATATATCCAGACCCAAAATTATCGCATAATTATAATACACCATTTAAAGGTACAAAGCAAACTATTTCGTATTTGTAATTCAACATTATGTACGGGAATATAGTTATTTTATGATGTTTAGTTGAAAACAATTAACTTTGATTTATCATCATTATATTTGTGTTGATTGTGACATTAATATAATTAATATAATTAATATAAAACACAACCGTATTAGTTTAAGTTAAATTAAGTAAGAATTAAAGAAGTTCTGAATGTATAGGTATACCCCTCTTGGGAACATCGCAAGAAAACGATCCATGTTTATTATGACAAACCAAGGAAGCGTCACATGGCTGACTTGAACATTCATCAACATCTTCCTCACAATTGCTGCCCGTCCATCCTTTTGTGCAGTTACAAGAGTACGATCCATTTGTATTTATACATGCTCCAGAGTTCTTGCATGGATTTTCAAGACATTCATTTACGTCATCAGAACAGGATTGACCTTGACGACCGACAGGACAAATACATATGGATAAACGCTTGGTGTGTTGGCATTCAGTTAAACCTCTACAGTGACTTCCATTGCAATTGGTGACTTCCTTGTTACATTTGATTTCTTCAAACCCATTTTTACACACACAAATATTCCCACGGCCATGTTTTTCGCATACTTGATTCTGTCCGCACGAAGAACTTAACAAAATAAATAATTGTCAAAGCATTAAAAAAAGAAAAAGTAAAAAAACTTTTTAAATTATTTAAAATTCAAATTGTTCAGCAGTCTACGAATTAATCATACTAACTTACTCATTCTGACAATTGTTTTCACATAAATTTCCGAACCATCCTGTGATGCATTTTCTATCATTGCTGGTCTTTTTAATTTCGCAGTGGTTCAATGGACCATTCACCCAGCCTTTTAAACAGTAACATCTGAAACAAATTTTTTTGTACATTACCTTATTGGCAAACGTTTACAGATTAACTGGTTTTCGTGCTATGGATAAATGATCCCAACTGAAGAAAAGAAGAAAACAAAATAGCATTGGTCATGAATAACAGTCCGAGTTTGCATGGTTAATCGAGCTAATTAAAGAAATGATATAACCTGTAACAAGTAAAGAATAAATATACCTGTTTTTTCAAATAGATTATTTGTTTTTATTCCCCTGCTTTTAAATCTAAACAGAATAAATTATTGAGCTTTTGTATCAGTAAATGCGCCTGAATTTCTTACATGAATATTACTGATAAAGAATTATTATTTCAAAAGTTACCCTGGACTTTCTCCAAGCTTTGTTATATTTACTTCGGGTTCATGGATGACAATATGTTTAATACGCCTAAGCCGGTGCGGTGCTAAACACGTTCAATATATTCGAATTTGCGACTTCCAATTATTTTTTATTTTTACCCATTCATGCCCTTGCTGCCAAAGAATATACATATTCCAAGATTGTCACTGTTTTGGAAGGCGATATCACCTTCAGATGCCGTCGTGAATGCCTTACAATTACAGCCTCCCATGCATACGCGTCGAAATATAATTCTTCGCTACTTAAGTTCAGCAGACGAACTAAAAAACTTTCAATGATATAGTATGAGGTTATAAGACACTCCGATTTCTATATGGACGTGTATACAACTGTCAAACCTATATTAGATGAAAAGATAGCCGAGTCATATAAAGCATATTAACAAAGACAAATATTCGTACTTCCAACTGCCAAATGTATTTTCACAAAAGCCGCGATGGTAGCATGGACTTCCCTTTTCGCATTCATTGAAATCGTCTTGACAATTGTGACCCTGAAAAAGTAAAGTTTTACTCATATTCTAAACACACACACACACATACACAGATATCACTTTTTTATTTTCTTTTTTATTCATCGAAAAATTTTACTTGAACTTCTGATACTTTTTATTCAGTCATGTATTTTTTCTCAGCTATAGGGAATGCACAATGTTAAATCCGTGCTCACTGCAATATGTTCTCAAATTTGTAAGTACACTCTGTTATATTTACATTCTGAATTCGGCATGAGGTAGTTTTGCTGTAATCGTCAGCTTCCATGTATCACTATCGACCTTGAAACAGGCCCAATCAACCCTGGTCTGAACTGTTTCAGCAACTTAATGGGGTTCAACATAATGTAGCTTATTAATTCAAATCAGTCTATAAATAAATAAGGTAAGGCAACGTTACCTTATAACCGCGACTGCATTGACACGCTTTTCCGTCTTGAGAACATATTGCTTTGTTGTAGCATGTGATATTCCCACATTGTGTGACATTTTTCGTGGCAAATGATTCAACCGCCTGTCAAGAAAACAAAATATTTATTTTGCTTTGAAATGTTCAGTTGTACAATTACACATTACATTTCGGTTTGGTTTAAAGGTATCAAAAGTAGTATCATCACAAAATGTTTTGTTTCATTCATATCCAAAGCAGATATTGCTTAAACTATTACCTTAATGTATGTATAGTTTCAAGATTTTATATGTTTCAGCTACAAGGGCAGATAACTCGAAAGCAAGATAAATGACTCCTATGTTGTTTTTTTTTCGCTTTAAATATTTCTATTATCATAAATTAAGATCACGCAAAGTTTAATGCACCGTTTTCATTCTGCTTTTTCTATATGTACCTTTTTACACATCAAACTATGTGACTAACGCAGTAGGTGGAGGGGACTATGTCGCATATTACGAGCTCTTTCTTGGTATCTACGTGAAATGTAAGTGTTGTTTGCAAGCGTAAACTTCTTTGTTCACTTTACAGAATTGATAATAAATTTCAATATTAGGGAATAATTGTCATTCCCGTTAAAGGACGTTCGCTGTTTTCATCGAGTTTTTTTGTCTTACAGGTAATGACCTTCATTAAGCCTGGAATACATATGTACGCACACACTCACGCACACGCGTGCTTGTTACATGCTTGTTACAGACTGACTATAAAACTGTCAATAAAATAGTCCGATAAGTATCAGAAATTGAAGTTCTGTTTAGTGTTAAGGTTTAATTTTTAACCTTAATATCTAAAATCAAAAAAATTCCGTTGACAATTTATCAATTAGTTAATCGGGTTTAAATCTATATATGCCATTTAGTTCAAATGACTGAATTTTTAAGATCGTTCTAGTTTGTTATCTTTTTGTTCATATTTATATAACATAAACTGATAGTATGGCATTACTTTAAAGAGGAAAGTAAAGCATTGAAAAACGTTTTTATACATGTACTTTTAAGTGAATTGGTCTAATAATAGAAAATTTGTAATTCAATAAAATTAAGTTAACAGTATTTAGCATAACAACAAACCATGGTAAAATTGTACATGAATGTTGCTGGCAAGTGTGAGATGTATGTTCTGATATAACATATATTTATATAACAGATAATAATTTTTTCAATAACCAAATGTTGATAAACTTATAACTCAGTATGACAATGTTATATTACTTGGTGACTTTAACTATGATTTACTTCAAAAAGACAAGGGAAAGCCATTGATGGATTTTATTGAACTATTTGATTTTAAAAATCTAATACAATCTAGTACATGTTTTATGAAAAATTGTACTCCTAACCTTTTGGATGTCATTTTAATTAACTCTAAGCCTCTTTGTATGAAAACAATGAATTTTGCAACTGGTATTAGTGATTGTCATAATATTATAAGTACAGTGATAAATAACACCATTCTAAAAAATCAGAAAACTAAAATTAGTTATAGAAGCTTCAGAAATCTTGATATTGATTTACTAAATATTGATCTTTCTTCCATAGTAGTTCCTACCCCTAATAGTATACAATGCTCTGAAGAAAAGGTAAATAAAGTATATGAAACTTTTGAACAGGATATTCAACACATTTTTGACAAACATATTCCTATGAAAATCAAAACAACTCCAATTAGTTTTTTCACAAATGTAGCAGAATCTATAGGGAAAGATTATGATTACAATGTAGAAAATCATCCTAGTATTGCTCAAATCAATGATAGAAATTATTTACAAGATGCCTTTAGCTTTGAACAAACATCACAATGTAATATATCTAAACTTATAAATAATCTAAATGTTAAAAAGGCCACAGGAGCGGATAAAATTTCACCCAAATTTATCAAACTAGGTAAACCATCATTAGTTGAACCGTTGGCAAATATAATTAACTTCTCAATTAAATCACATGCTTTTCCTACTAAATTAAAACAAGCACAAGTTAAACCACTTTTCAAAAAAAAAATGACGCTATGACCAAATCTAACTATAGACCAGTAAGTTTATTACCTATTCCATCTAAACTTTTTGAAAAAGTACTATTTGAACAGATCTCTGCTTATTTTGATGATATATTTGACAATTATTGATGTGCTTTTAGGAAAGGCAATGGGTGTCAAACTACTCTGTTAAGACTGCTTGAGGACTGGAGACAGGCCCTGGACAACAATGAATATGTGGCAGCAATTTTGATGGACTTATCTAAGGCATTTTATTGTCTGCCACATGACATTATTTTAGATAAGTTAAGAGCATATGGCTTATCAGGCCCTGCCACCAACCTCATGCAGTCTTATCTGTCATACAGGAAGCAGCAAATAAAATGGGCAATATTGTAAATTCATGGGCTAATATATCCAAAAGTGTCCCTCAAGGATCAATCCTGGGCCCTCTACTGTTTAATATTGGTTGACATATTTTTTTTTATAAAAAAATGTACTTTATATAACTATGCAGATGACAATACCCTTTCTTTTCGTACTAAAAATTTTGATGAACTAATATGTACCTTAGAACAAGAAAGTAACTATCTTATAAATTGGTTTCATTTTAATAAAATGCAAGCTAACCCTGATAAATTTCAAGCTATTGCTGTAGGGAAGAAAACATTCACTAAATCCCCAGCTTTCAAAATTAATACAAGTGAAATAACATGTGACGAAATTGTAAAACTCCTTGGCATTGACATTGACAAACAATTAAATTTTAATTTTCATATAAGCAATATATGTAAAAAAGCTGCTAATCAGTTAAACAGCCTCAAAAGAATAGGTCACAACTTAAATCAAACAAATAGGTTAACAGTCTTTCATACTTTTATATTGTCTAATTTTAATTTTTGTCCTATGTCATGGCATTTTTGTTCAGAAAATAATACTAAAAAGATGGAAAAACTACAGGAAAGAGCACTTAGATTTGTCTATAATGATTTTAATTCAAGTTATGAAGATATGCTGATAAAGGTTAATATAACAACTCTAAAAATAAGAAGAATGAGGGCTATGGCTATTGAAACTTTTAAGGTATTTCATGATATGTCTCCTGCTGTTCTGTCTGACCTTATTGTCAAGAAAATATCTGGTATAAATTTCAAATATTCAAATATTTTGCAGATCCCACAAGTAAGAACTACAACTGCTGGTAAAAAAACCTTTCAGGTATGCTGCACCTGCTTTATGGAATTCTCTGCCTGACAATTTTAGAAAATGTTCAAATTTTGCTCAGTTTAAAAAGTATTTCATTATGGAATGGTAAAATCAAATGTATTGCTTTTTTTTTATTTACTTCACTTTTGTTTATTTTTCTGGGTTTGAACATTTTTTGTCTCAGTTATTATTTAGTTTCTGAGTATGTTTTTGCTTTAAACGTGTTTTTGCTTTTCATCCCTGCATGATTCCAGCTTATTTTAATATTATCATTTAGTTTCTAGATAGGATGTTGCTTTATTTGTGATGTTTTGTTATTTGCTTATCTTTCCATCATGACTCAAGCTAGCTGTTATATGAGTTCAACTGTTGACTTACATGTATGATCCCCTCTGTCTTTGTGTATTTGTTTGATAACCCATAATTTCATATTTAAATTATATATAAAAAAACTGTTTGTTTTTTTAGTATTTTTATTTATTTATTTTATTTATTTAACACTTCATTAAATTTTTAATTGTTTAATCGGTATATTATTGAACTTTAAGTAATATTTTAGATACTTGACATTGTAAGCATAATTTAATGTACAAGATTAAGTAATCTATCATTTGAGGTTTTTTTTAGCATCTGATTCATTGTTATAAAAATATCTTAAAAGGACTATTTTATGTAAACATCATGTTTAATCAATTTTTATTGCAGCTGTTTTATCTTTGTTGATCTTATACTTTATGTTATATACAGTCGGTTATAAAAGCTCCTAGAGCTTATGTTGTACTGTTGTAAACTTGCCGACTTGAAATAAAACTAATCTTATCTTATCTTATGTTATGTTATCTTATCTTATTATTCATCATAACATAATAATAATAATTGTTCATTCTAAATTACTTTTAATTTCATTAACATTTTTTTCTTTCAAGCAATATTTTATGAGAATGTATATAAATGATACATATTTACAACTTATCAATATTTGAAATACTTTTGGAAAATGTGCGCATTGTAGACCAATTAACTTTTAAAAAATAGGACAGGTGCTATCATAATAGATATTTTCACAGTTTATTACTTTTTACTAATTATGTCAATGGCAATGACTTTTCCTTTTTTATCACAACTTTTGTCTACCTAGACCTACTCGCCTCGTGAAATGAGTCATCGTGCGTCCGACCTCCAAACAGTGATGTTATTCCGCGATTAAATCACTGTTGGTATTATCCTATTTCTTAAATAACAAATATGGAAAATTAACGCAAAAGTTATGTTTACAGGTTCCACGTTGGAGCCGCTCTACATCACTGAAGTGCAATGCAGCAGAATAAACAATTTAGAAATATCTATGATAAATTGTTAAACATCAAGCTTCTTACGGTACACTATTATAAGGGAAGAAAATTGTAAAACTGTAACTTTACCGATAGCTTATGTTGTTACTTTATTGTTTGTGTACAGAAAACTTAGGACAGGTAGATTTCTTTTCATCCTCCATATGAGTTAGAATTAAAATGGAGCGTTTTCATTGAATGGCAGTGGTGGATTTTACACAAGAAACTAAGCAAAAATGAAACAATTTTGATTTATTAAGGTGTGTGCTTAGTAAATAAAAGAATTCTTTTCAATAGTATTAACTGTTTTTGAGCAATTGCAAGGAGTAAATTAGCCCAAAATATCTTAATAAAACAATGAAAATTTACAATACTGTAAACAGACAGTGCTGCACAATGGTCGGCAATGAACTTTGGAATGAAATGCAGACATATAAAAGAAACAATGACCTTGGTGTATTAAGCTTACCCTTTGTACCCTTGTTTTCCTCAGATTTATGATACTGGCATCGCACTCTGTTATAATCACCTGAAAAAAGTGAAATATTTGAAAGTCTGAAAGAGACGCAAAGGCAATCAATTACAACAGCCTAAAAATGAACTTTTAATATCTTTATATACACATGCATAATGCATCAAAGGTAGGATGAATTTCAGTGGCCCAGTATGTAAGATGTCTTTCTCTCGATAATCAGCCCAGGCAGTGTGGGTTCGAGCTCTACTCGGGTCACGACCATGTTTCCTCATATAACACCAGTACCCGTAAGTTCCACAGGGGAATTGAAATCGATAAAAAAAGTTGAGAAAAAAAACTTGTTTCACAATCAAGCTTTAATAAATATGTTTAACTAAATGTACAGATACTCGTATGCAGAAAAGGCAATGCGGGAGGCAACAC